AAATGGGAGACAACAATCCCTAAAGTAATAAAGATGTCTGGATATTACCGTATTCCTTCTCTGAAAACCACTATGTTATTCAGTTATTTTCAGGACTATGTTTTGAGCAAGTTTTAAGAATGTTGTGACAAGTCAGATTAATATATTATAAAAGCTTCATATTTTATTTTTATAGACCTTTCTATGTGATGTTACTAAACGGTGAGGCCAACACCCTGTCTATGACTAGGCTTATAAGTCCTTTTTTGATAAAGATTAAAGTTTAAGTGGCTTAGGGTATCCTTAGCTATTAATGCTATAATAGGCTTAGACTACTGGAAGACATAGGGACCACTTAGTTTGCTACATTCTACTTCTATTCTCCAATTCTGCAATTTAGCTTCATCAGACCTGGCTCTATTTTCACTTTTAATTCCTTCTTTCCAATAAATACAGTCATATAAAAAAGTTCTAGCACCCCTATTAATCTTTATCATTTTCATTTCTAAATATTTTGGTGTTTGCAACAGCTATTTAAGTTTGATATATCTAATAACTGATGGACACAGTAATATTTTAGTATTGAAGTGAGGTTCATTGGACTAACAGAAAATGTGCAATACACATTAACAAAAAATTTGACAGGTGCAAAAATATGGGCAACTCAGCAAAAAAGAGACATTAATATTTCGTAGATCCTCCTTTTGCGAAAACATCAGCCTCTAGTCACTTGTATTCAGTATTCACCCTTCAGTAGATGGCTTGCCGGGTATAATTTTGAATGTTATCTATTGAACAAAACTCCATGAATGAAAATTGTTGTTTTAATGGTTATTGAGTCAGATATGTGGCGGGCGGGTAATGTTTATCTACTGTGTAAATGGGTTCAGCTGTAATTTAATATATCTGCAGTATGGGGACGATAAATCTGATAGGATTATTTTTTGTCACAATATGCTTAACTAAGTATTTGTTTCTTTTTGAATATAAGATATTTTGCAGATATGTTTTTTAGGGGAAGGATCAGTGGGGTAGCCTCGTGAGACCATCCTTATCTCATGAGCTTTCAAGATTTCACTCGATAATCAGTCTGGAGACTCTCTGTTGAAGAAAATTTGGAGCCGTTCACCAAACGAACGTCCAATCAGCGTTGGCTTTGAGGCGGGTTGAGGTATGATGCAACGAGAAGCGCGACAGTTCAGTCTAAAGAACATGGCGGCTTCAGCCGATGAAACTAG